CCACCACTCGTCTGGGTAGCTCATAGTATAGACCCATTCCTTCTGCGCAACACACTCTGCGTTCACTCAGTCCACTCTCCACCACCACTCGTCTAGGTAGCTCATAGTATAGACCCACTCATTCTGCGTAACACACTCTGAGTTCACTCAGTCCACTCTCCACCATCACTCGTCCTGGTAGCTCGTAGTATAGACCTTTGGCGACCAGTGTGGCCGTGGCTTCAAGCCGTTTGGCTTACATGCGTATGTCGTGTTATGTGGTCGTTACATGCGTATGTCGTATGCCATGTTGATATCCTTGTCTCATCTCTGCTATGCCTACCCCCACTACCTTATCAATGGCCCACAGAATCACTCCGGTACTACGGGATCGATATATTGGACAGGATACCAATGCTACCGAAACAGGTAGGCACGATAAGTGTGTGTAGTGTTTGGGGTGAACCAGGTAGGCACGAGAAGTGAGTGTAGTTTGCTGATAGTGGCTGTGAGGCAAATTGGTTATCGCAGCTGCCTGCCACGTGCTTTCTGTACCACTGTCTATTTGGAGCTGTGCGCTGGCTCGTGTTTGTGTATCTCTGTGCAATGTTAGTGGGTCCGTATGGTTGTGGACTTATGCCAAGCGATGTTGTATTGAGTGGCCAATTCAATTGCGGTGTGGTGTGCTTGTTGTCATGGTAACGTAGACACGTTTTAAGTGGGCCTTATGGTTGCGGACTTATGCCGAATGATGTTGTATTGAGTGGCCCCAATTCAATTGCGGTGTGGTGTGCATGTTGTCATGGTAACGTAGACACGTTTTACTACCACCCGCTAATTGAAGGATAGCTGTCATCAAACCACACCCTTCCGCAGATCTACTTATTTACTGACCAGCCTAGTACACGTCACGCACCTTCTCAGATATCAATAGACACGCTGAACTGCCTGAAAACAAAAGTGGACCTTACACATACATCACACACCTTCTCAGATCCTTACACACACGCCACACGCCTTCTCAGATCATTACACACACACCACGCACCTTCTCGGATCATTATACACACACCACACACCTTCTCAGATCATTACACACCCCAAACACCTTCTCAGATCATTACACACACCAAACACCTTCTCAGATCATTACACACACCAAACACCTTCTCAGATCATTACACACACACACCACACACCTTCGCAGACATCCGTAGACTCGCTGAACTACCTGAAAACAAAAGTGGACCTTACACACACCTCACACACCTTCTCAGATCCTTACACACACCAAACACACCTCAAACACCTTCTCAGATCATTACACACACACCACACACCTTCTCAGATCATTATACACACACCACACACCTTTTCAGATCATTACATACACCACACACCTTCTCAGATCATTACACACACACACACCACACACCTTCTCAGATCATTACACACCACACACCTTCGCAGACATCCGTAGACATGCTGAACTACCTGAAAACAAAAGTGGTCCTTACACACACCTCACACACCTGCTCAGATCATTACACGCACACATCACACACCTTCGCAGATATCCGTAGACACGCTGAACTACCTGAAAACAAAAGTGGACCGCATGCGCCATGGCATTCAACTGGACCAACTGGCCATCAACACCACACCCATCCGCCCAGAGAGCTGCCCAGTCTCACCCACGAATGCGCTCAGCCCACCCACAGCCGAAATCACCATCCAAGTACCCCTGGTAAGACAGCCCACCCACAGCTGTGGGGGAGTGTCAATGCACGTGTGTATGGGGCTATTTGGCTGAGTATGTGTATGGCTAGTGGTTATGTATGTGTGTATATGGTAGAGTAGTGCTTTCGTATAGAGGGGTTATGGCCAATGTCTAAGTATGTGTGTATATGGTAGAGTAGTACTTTCGTATAGAGGGGTTATGGCCAATGGCTAGGTATGTGTGTATATGATAGAATAGTACTTTCGTATAGAGGGGTTATGGCTAATGTCTAAGTATGTGTATGGCTATGCAAGATCCTGCGTAAATCTAAGATAGTTTGCGTGCAAGGGTCGATCCTTCTGAAGCGCTTGCCATGTTTTGGACGGGGTTTGAACGTCCATATCTGTGAGCGTTAACGTTTTCTAATTACATTCTTGAGGGTTGGTACTTCGATGTCTATCTATTTATAACTGCAAGCCCGCCTGCGAAACTGTCTGTAGAGTTTGGATACGGACACCTTGAGTATCATAGCGCTGTCCATGTCTCTATAACAGATGGTCAACTGTTTGTTACGATCGTGTGTATACCTACACATACATTGTATAGGTATAGGCGCGAATGCACCGGTCGTTGCACAGTGAACCTGCCGTGCCTATATGTTGTAGTGGCCCTTCCTGCACCTGTCCGGTTTTTCAGAGGATGGGCCGCACATAAACAAGGCCACTTCTCTCGTATAAACCTATATGCAGAGCAACCCCATGCCATGTTGGCTCGGTGGTCTTTGGGATTAGCGTCCTGTTGTGGGTGTTTTGCATAGGCCTGTTTGCGTATGTACGTGTACTATATCGGATCTTAGAGTATCCCAGAGTATGTCGGCTCTGTTGGTGTGCGTGGTAGGTAGCACTCTGCACCGGGGAGCTCTACAGGATCATCGGACCACCATAAGACGTATCCACTTGCGACCAATGGGTGGCTGCCTTACCTACCCATCTACTTATATGGAAAGCGCACTCATTCTGGCGGTCTTGGCTTTGCTTCATGTGCGTGTTTCAGAACGGACATCAGGGATACCATACGTCTGCGGCAGCCGATGCGGAACTGACATCAAACGGCACGACAGATATCAACCATATAAGTATGTGCGCAGTCTTACTAGGCAAATACCTTAGTAGCCTTAGAAATGTATATATGGCTTACCAGCCTTACGACTGTGTGGACCTGTTTTAGCCAGCCATCACGTGTAAGTAAAACGGCACGACAGATAGCAACCATATAAGTATGTGCGCAATCTCACTAGTGTATATACCTTAGAAGCCTCATAAATGTATATATGCCTTACCAGCCTTACGACTGTGTTGACCTGTTTTAGCCACCCATCACGTGTATGGCGGCGTTATCTACATGTCGGCCGTGCCTCTGCTGTACAGTCGACCTGTCTGCCTGAGCGTAAGTCGTGAGAAGTATTGAGTTTTGCGTTTTCCCGCGGCCACTTCAGTATCCTTATCATCGCAAGTTACACTGCAGCTGTGCCTGTAGTTAGGCGTATCGGGGTGCGGTTGCCGTAGTGATGCACTCGGCATTAGTCCTATACGTTTTGGTGGACATATTCTGAGTGCGACGGTCTCCTGTCACACGTGCGCGCACTCCTTTGTATAAATCAGTCCGCAAATGAAAGCTCACCATTGAGATGGCAGATCAGTCTGAATAGCTTGTTACGCCTTGAATGTATGTATGTATATATATATATATATATATATATATATAGCAGTAACACGGCGTCGTCACGGCGTCGTTATAAATATGTATATTCATATATATATATATATACATAATACACGCATACATATACATATGTATATATGTGTGTATATATATATATATATAGCAGTAACACGGCGTCGTTATAAATATGTATATTCATATATATATATATACATAATACATGCATACATATACATATGTATGTATATATATGTATATATATATATATATATATATATGCATACATATACATATGTATATATATATATATATATGTATTTATGTATGTATATAGATATATAGCACTTATAGCTGTATTCTCGGCGTCATCTGTGCATGACATATCCAATACGGCGCTCGGTATAGCAGCAGTGTCTCCGTTGTCGCAGCAGTAGGACAAACACCACACTACGTTCTTCACTCTCACACACCACTCTCTCCTTCGCACACCGTCTGTGTCATACCCGCCACAGCATCCAGCACAGACGCCGGCACAGACTTTGTGAAGCACAGCTCCAGTGAGAAACGTCAGCTATTCCAAAACGAGGTAGACAAACTCAATCACTTCCTCTCCTCCACGTCTCTGGGAATGCCCGTTGGTGGCCGACCCAAGATGTGGCACAGCGCCAGCTCAGAGAACGTGTCGTCTATGGCTATGGCTTTGGCCGGTAATCTGCCCGTGCCTAGAAGTTCGGTACCTTGCATAGTGTCGGACGATCTACCTACCGAGGTGTGTCATGCTTGGTTGGTGTTACGTTTGGTGCTGGGCCGCTGGTGTTGTGCCGTTTGTATAGGGTGCCCCTGTGGTGAACGGGAAGTCCATCGATGTTTTTTTTTTTGAGATACGCCAAGGGTTGCTGGAGATTCTTGGGTTATAGCTACCTTCTCTCCATCGCTTGCCTATACATCTCTGACCCTTTCTATTCTTTCTATCCTTTCTGTCCTGTATAGCAGACGCAGGTCAGCCTACCTTCTCTCCATCGCTTGTCTATATATCTCTGACCCTTTCTATCCTTTCTATCCTGTCCCCCTTTCCTGTATAGCAGACACAGGTGAACGCCTACACAGTGTGGGGCCGTCCGTATGTGACGCTCACGTATGCGCAGAGTCTCAACGGGTGCATCGCCACACGCGAGCGCAGTCCTCTGGCCATCTCGTGCGATGAGTCTTTGGTGATGACTCATCAGCTACGCGCGGACCACGACGGCATCCTCGTGGGCATAGGCACTGTGTGTGCGGATAACCCTCGCTTGACAGGTGTGTGTGCGGGGGTGGGGGGGGGGTCTTAGTTTGGGTCTGAGTTTGTCTGATTCTTGTGGCACGTACCTGTGTGTGGTGCGTGTTTAGCTGTTGAGTGGGTTGTCGCCGGTGCTTCCAGTGCCGATGTGCCGTCGAAAGATTTGCGGATAGTTTGTCAGCTCTCTGTGCGGCGGTTGAGTTGCATGTCTATCGAGAGTAGTACTGTCGCACATATATATATATATATATATATATATATATACGACTGTACTACTCTTCATTATATATATATATGTGTGTGTGTGTGTGTGTTTGATGCACTTTTTTATCGCCTGGGGCTGGGGAATTGGCGTGGTCTTTTGCTCACATCATATGTCGACGTACGTCTAGTCAGCTACAAGTGAGTAGTATTACATTCGTATCAACTAAAAGCGATGTTTCGGTACACGCCCCATATATGTTGGTAGTAGGATTTGGAAGACATTGCATTCTGTAACGGGCCTTCCTCCAGTTGAGGTTCCAAATACACTCGCGAGCGAGCGCTATATTATGCCCTGTGCTCTTTAAAGGTGTTTGTTCAATGCCGCAACCCTTTGCGCTGCTCTTAATCACGCCCGTAGAAACCGGGTTTGACTACATTAGTTCATGGTAGTGTTGAGTACTCTAGGGTTTATGGTTTGTACTTGAGGGCTTACGGTTTATCTCATTCACCACCATAACAGACATCCCACCACTTGTCTCAGTTACAAGTATAGGCTGTGCGGCAAACACATGTACATTGAATTATCCGTGCGACAATGGTCGCCTCTATTTATTTATTTATTTATTTTAATTGTTGACTTATTCTTCTGCCCTTTATTGTTTGTCATACCACCGTACCAGTTCGTCTGGCAAACGGAAACGACCCTTTACCCATCATCCTAGACACCAACCTGCGCGTGCCCATGGACGTGACCATACTAGACAACAAAAGGAAACCTTGGATTGTGTGCAGAATCGGGTGTGATGAGTCCAAAATAGAAGCTCTGGGTGCAAGGGGGGTGACGGTGGTACCTATTGATTGCGAAGAAGGCGAGATGCTAGACGTGAGCATGGTGCTGGGTGTACTGAAGCAGCGGGGAATCAAATCGCTGATGGTGGAGGTATAGTGAAGTCTGGCCGGCGTACGCTGTTGCATGTGCGAGTTCGTTCGCTTGTCCGTACTGTGTCGATGTGTCTGTTCGGCTATGTCAATACTCGCATTCAATTGTGTCGATGTGGATATTGATTGTATCTATGGACTTCTGTCTGTCGCCCTCCGGGTGCGTATAGCGAATTGGGTGGTGATCAGAGCATGTGCTATTGTTGCTTAGTCGACTATCGCTGCACAGTGAATATATATCTATATCTATATATATATATGTGTGTGTGTGTGTGTGTGTGTTTATGTTTATATATATATATATGTGTGGTGTGCGTGTGTGTGTGTGTGTGTGTATATATATATATATAATGCTCTCATCCGCAACAACTATTTATGGTGGTAATAGACGTGGACTCCCAACGTATCGTAGAGTGGTTTGTACTCATCTATGAATGCGTATGTTCGGTCTCCGTACCCCCATTTGCTATCTACCAAATGGCTCAATAGTGCACACGCCCTTATCGCGGGGTGAATCCGCCGTAGAAACATACGTGCAGTGTGTGTACAACGAACCGCAATAAATATTCCTTTACAACATGTTGTAAATTAACTTATAGGATAGATAAATATTTACATGTTGAATTATCTTATAGGGTGGTGCATCGATCATCACTTCGTTCCTGGCCAGCCGTCTGGTTGATTTTGTGGTGGTAACGATCTCACCCGTGTTTATCAATGGGCTGGAGCTTGTGCCATCGGTATGTGAGTGTTGGCGTTACCGGTGGGTACGTATGTTGTACAAGTCCGCAACTTTCACTGGTAGTAGATCAGAGTGTAACTTTCACTGGTAGTAGATCTGGGTGTAACCTTCTACTGGTAGTAGATCTGAGTGTATCTTTCACGTGGTAGTAGATCCGAGTGTAACTTTACTGGTAGTAG